ATACATATATATATATATATATATATATATATGAATATAATATTCTTAAACTATATCTTAGAATATCATAGAGTAAAGGACTATGTATTCATATAGTGTTAACTAGAGTGGAATTGGTGAGGAGTACACGGAGTGTACACCGGGGTGTCTACAGTAAACACTAGAAGCAACCGTGTGTTGACTGTGTGGACAAATTGTGAACAAGCTGTGGACTACGTGTACACAGTGTGAACACACCTATGACATGTTTCAAAGAGATTGACTATCATTTAAATATAAAACTTACCCGCCATTACTATTAAGATTTGTAGCCGGATATAAACCGCCGAATGCTTTGGTATTGTCGGGATCAGAAGAACGAAGAACACATGAGTTTCGAAAGGCGGATCGCACCGGTATGCTTACTTATGGATAGTGATTTTATATTGTATAAATAATACTGTAAACAACTACGCAACCGATAAGTATTGTTTTCAGGTTGATGTGGGCCGGATTCAACTTAGCACAAGTTGAACCACTAATATCATGGATATTTAGTACATAGAATTTAAATTCATGGTTGAATTGAGTAACAAGGCTTCACGTAAATGACATATTTTTTTTTGTAATCATTGCTTTTGTGATTCTTCTGCCGTTTAGGTTTAACCTTGGGCCTTGGTTTTGATTATGCCTTCACAAAAAGGTTGCAATATCGGGATCCCCGGCCTCATGTCATAACTTCAATTTCACAGTGGCGCCGTTGGTGCAACCAACAAGTTACAAAAACAAAAATACAATTGGTGTACGGTGGACAGTATGAAACCATTTACAACTTCCAGTCTCCTTACACCTTCCCACAGCAAAATTGAACTTAATATTTTATTGAAATTATGTGTCTAATGTGTTTTATTTAAGATTAAAATTACAATTTTAAAACTTTCTTGACGGTTAGTATTAGTGGTTAAGATTTATAAAATACACTAGGCCCCTATATAATATTTATGATTGTATTTTGACAAACTATTACCAAAAAACGGTGTACAGTCAACCCGGTCATGATTACTTTCAATCAAAATTGAAACCCGTAAGGACAGTAAAGGACATTAAACATTTTTCATCAGTCAGTTATTCAATTTCTCACCTCAGCCCCAACCATGGTGAGAATCGAGCTCCACTAGCTTATAAATCCTCTTTCACCCCTGGAACGGGGAAGGGGGAGTAGGGCGGCTCGCACTGCCACATGAGCTGTACTAAACAATCCCACAAAAAATCGGCAGTTATCGAATTCAACATTCATAGTTACGTATTTTTGTTTTTATTTACAGTTTTCTATTCAACTATCGATTTCGTTGGATTTATTGAAAGAGAGCCAGTGCTTTTCACACTGTAGTTAATTCTAGCCAACTTAGGTTATTTATGGTTTCAAGTATTTGTTAAATTTCATATTTGTTTTGTATTCAATTATTCATGTTATTGGTTGAATAAATAAAGAATGAATGAATGAATGAATGGAATGAATGAATGAATGATAGGCCAACAGCAATGACGACAACCATAATAATAATAATAAAGTGCAAAATACTTCAACTACAAATGAAACATTATGTTACAAAAGGATTTACTTATCATTCAATTGTGCTGCTATGTAAAGATTTTGTAGCAACATCTTCTAATGCATTGTAAAACATTTGCTCAGAGCAGACAGGATATTTACACAATATGGTACTATGCAGTTACAAAGAGAAAACAAATAAAATATATTTAAACAAATAATGATAAAATGAATTAACTTTGGAGATGACTCATACACCATATAATATACTATGTATTAATTATACCAATAACTGATATTAAAGCTTCACCAAGACAAATAAATTTCAATGAACCTTATCTGAAGTGGCAATCGAACTTAACAACTGACCAATCAAAAGAGGGCCTTACCATCGATACAATGATTTTAGATTGTATAAACAATACTGTAACAACTACGACACTGATATAGACCTCAGATTGTTTTCAGGTGGATGTAGGCCGGATTTAACTCACAAAAATGTTTATTCAACCAGAAACAGAACAAAGTTGAACCATTATGTATCACGGATTCTTCGTACATAGAAGTTACCCTTCATTGTTGATTTGAGTAACAAGCAATGACGTACGGTATTGAACTATTTTTCTAACCAATATGCCTACCTTTGTAATTCTTCTGAACGTTTAGGTTTATCCTTGAATATTGGTTATGATTATGCCTTCACAAGAAGGTTGCAATATCGGGAAACCCCCAAGCCTCATAACTTCAACTTTATTCGGCTTTCACTTTTGATACAGTGGCGCTGTGTTATTTACAGTTTCTATTCAACTATTTCATTGATGAACGAATGCGTTGTTCTGCTTATAAAATTGGATAAATTACATATTGAATTATTATTATTATTATTATAACAATAATAATAATAATAATTATTATAATAATAATAATAATTATAATAATAATAATAGTAGTAGTCGTCGTCGTTGTTGTTCTTGTTGTTGTTATTATTATTATTATTATTATTATTATTATTATTATTATTATGACGACGACGACGACGTTGGGAACCATGTTCTCTCCTGTCACCCTCCTACCTTTATATGGAATCTACAAGCCACTGAAGTTGTTTATTATTGGTCTGGCCAACGAGAAGCATTGCAGTAATAGTAGCATTGAAATACCCGCTGCTACTTGGCGATCGGATTCAACACTAGTCACTAAGCGCATTTTTGGTGGTCTAGTGGTTATGACACCAGGCTAATTATCTGGAGGTCATGGGTTCAATTCCCAACCAAATCAATCGCGGACTTCTTTTCGCTAGTACTTTATTTCACTTCATTTCATTTGTCTCAAACAAGCAAAAAAGAACATGAGACAGGAACTCCCAACGAGTGAAATAAATCATTGTCAATGGACCCTTTCACAAAAATGCTTACAATATACAATTTGGACGTCACGACAACAATAATAAAGAGCAAAATACTTTTGAAAACACATATTCTTCAACTACAAATGAAATTTTATGTTACAAAAGGATTTATTTTATCATTCAATTAATTGTGCTGCTATGTAAAGATTTTGTTGCAACATCTTCAACTTCTAATGCATTCTAAAACATTTGCTCAGAGCAGACAGGTCATTTACACAATATGGTACTAGGCAGTTACAAAGAGAAAACAAATACAATATTGAAACAAATAATGATCCAATGAATAAACTTTGAAGGTGACTTATACACCATAACTATATACTATGTATGATTATACCAATAAATGATATTAAAGCATCGCCAAGGCAAATATATTTCAATTAACATTTCTGGAGTGGCAATCGAACTTTACAACTGACCAATCAACAGAAACAGAAAGGTCCACGTGACTCAATAGGTTAATTATGCCGACCAATATAAGCTAAAACCAGACTATTTGAATATTTGCTATATGATTGTTCTAATTATTCGGATTGTTTGTTGTGTTCTAAGCGGACATTTACAAGGCACAGGCCTTTAGCTATTCTCAATGCTCCCTGCAAAATAAACCCATTTGTGCTGCAAGTTCCAAGCATAATCTTAACCCTGTTGTATTACAAATTTCATTAAAACTAACAAAGTAAAAAATGTAAAAAATTATCAAAGCTCAGCTCAGCTTAAGGAGTTTCTATTTAATGAGAAAAAAACCGTGTTCCCCAAACAAGTGTTGAAAAATAATGGCGCAAATGTAAAAACAATATCTAGGTTCAAACAGAGAAGTACAAGTATACATTATATACATTCAAGAGAAAGTATACTTTTTAAGTCATAAATATTTTATCATCTACAAGCATAGATATTGCTTTCATACTTCACCACGTTCTTATTTGAAACATCTTAAATCCACATAAACAATAAAAGTATACTGCTCTACACTGTGGTCTGCAGTGCAGAGTTATTTGATAATTGAAGATTCAATTATTTAATGCAGAGGCAGACACAGAATTAATTATTCCAAAACATATTTCTGTTAAAACAAACAATTGTCGAAGATAAATACTGATTAAATTGGATAATTTTTCAATTCCTGCTACAGTAAATAATCAAATAATTGTGATTGGCCGAACAATTAACAAATCCTACCTGATTGCCGCCTACCCATTTATAATGCTGGATTCTGATTGGATGATAGTTAACAACCAATAAGGCAGCTGCTCTCTATCACCCACCAAACAATGCTGAGTTAGTTTCATTATAAATTCTATTTAATAAACCTCCATAATGGATAAAGTATAAACATACCAACACTGACCACTCTCTGTAAAAACATCATGCTCAGATTTGATAGCAAATCCTTGCTTCGTCCAGATAAGGAATGCATCAAAATATTCTAAAATCCAAGCAATAATAAAAATGAACATATTGGAACATTTGAATAATTAACATTCAACTAAAGTCCAGTAGAATTTACCAAACAGTAGAATCCGGTATACTGTATGTTTAATTGTAGTGTTTAGCTACTGTAAAACACAGCAGCATGGCTGAGAATTTAAGCTGCTTACAGACTGGAGAAAACAACAATGCGTATTAAGGATGTTTATTTGATGATTTGTAAATCTATATATAATCCATAATATGCCGTTTTTATGTCTGTTTTCTTTTTGATGTAAACAAAGTAAAAACAAGGATCTGATATATATTTTTTTCATTTAATTCATTTCAGCATTAATAATCCACTTGTACATATACAAATAAATAAATACATTTCTACAGTTTTAAGAAGCATAACAACATATTATGACCCATTTGTTGATAATTTCTCCTTCAATGTAAACAAGGTAAAAATAAGCCTCTGATAGACTTCTTTTTCACTCAGTTAATTTCAGCATTACTAATCCCATTCGAGTTTTAATAAATATACAAATAAATAAATAGGCTGTTACAGTGTAAGTTATAAGCATACAGTAATAATCTCCTAATCCTAATCTGAAATCGGGAAGGCCACTCAGAACATACTGCTTTACAATGTGATGTGGAAAATTTTAACAATAGGAAATTAACAGCGAATAATCAAAGCAAGCTAAGCACTGTTAAACATACCCTCATAGAAATGCATATCAATAATGCAAAATATAAACAAAATTAAACATAGAATACAATATTAGCATCCATATACAATTTACATAACTCAGCAGTGTGAATATTCAATACATATATTAATATCATATTTTCAAGCAATAAAAAATATACCAATACATTTATGATCTTTTGTGATATATTCATAATATAGTGTATGATGCATATCTTAAATAAGCTGTAAATTTAAAAGAAAAAAAACCAAGATGCAAAAAATTTATAAATCCCATACCCATATACTTTTTGATGTAAGAAAGAAATCAAGATCTTAATTGTTAATATCCCTTATTGTATCTCATTACAGTAATTACAAACTTACATTCAAAATTTTACTTTATATAAAAGGTCTATCAATATATCTGTGTCTGAGATGGTGCAATATTTTTCAAACTCAATATATTTTATTCTACATATAAATAATATAACATTCATGGTATTCTAAAAATAATCCCTCCAAAGAATATCAAGTTTGATATAATTATTATACCATTATATTAATTAAAATGGCATTAATATTTTCTATATTATTTTTTTTGCCAATCAAGGTATGTAGAAAATTTATATAAACAAAATTTTGTTTTTCAAAATACAATATAATAATTTACTATTGAATAAGTTATCCGATAAAAACCAGGACAAATCCTGTAGTACAATTTTTTTGTATGACAAAGTTTTTGATTTGAAATTTGTGAATAAAATCATAGCACATGATGTATATATCAGACAGAATCAAGTACTGAGTATGGGTGAATTTAATCACTACAGGATGACTGGCTCTGAAAATCTACCATTTGTATCTGTTAAGACCCTAAACCGACTGAAAAGTGAACTCAACACTCATTCAATAACCCTAAAGAAAACATGTTAAGTACGAGTTGATCTTGATAATTTCTCACGTTCTCTGGCAAATTATCATTTACAGCATAAATAATTGCGGTTATAGTTTAGTCTTAATAAGTACACTTATATATTAGCTTCCTTAATCTCAAGGTATTGAGTCATTCCCGCATTTATGACTCTGGATTTGTGATCTGCGGAGTACCCGCATTGAAACTAATTTCAAAATCTTCATCTTGCGAAATGAATGAATGCCGGAAATTTTCCTTCTTGGTAATGTCCCGTGATAAAATAGAATGCCTGATTGTTTCCATGCCTTCGGGAAATAGTTCCGGCTCATGTTCTGTGAGCTGCGTAATCTGCGGTTTCTTCTGGTTGCGTTTTTTACACTTCTCGTATGAGAAATAGCAAGAGAGCGCTAGGACTGCTCCGATGAGAGCAGAGCCGAGTGAGATTAAGATAAGGTAAGTTAACTGAAGACTGGTAATGCTCTTGCATGGTTCCTCCGCTGGATCTTCCCGTCCATCTTCAGCTGTTGATGCTCTTGCAACTTGGAATGGAAGATAACTGTCTGCAGCTAGAATGGCAAAAACAAATAAATCAATATTAGTCGAAATGTGTTATTTTCTCTTCATAACTAATGAAAACTTAGTTGAATCACATTCTTGTGTGTTTGGTGCTGGAGCACCACATTGTCATGGTAACAGCTTTTTATACTTTCCTGCTACTCCTCAGCAAACCAATATAAACAAAGTGTTTATTAATTATAATTATTCATGTGAATGTACACTTAAAACAGCAGACAACTAATTGGTTCATTCAATCGACCACAAACTATTAGCCTTCAAAAGTAAAATAACATTTACTAATCTTACCAAAATTCTCCATTTTTGTTATATCATCTGTGTGTATCTCATACATATTCATATTAAATTATACCAAACGCATTACACATGTGCGGAAATTATACTCAACAAGTAGATTCAGTGCATAAACTCAGCCATATGCAGATATAACTAATTTACATTCATTAACAATTAACTTTTTAAAACTTAACATATAACTCAGTCACTTATAAGTCAAATATTGTTCAAATGCAAGCTGAACAAAAATATGATAGCAGAATGTAATAGCAATTGTGAAGTAATCTTACATCTTGAGATCCTGTTCCCATTGTGACAATATTCAATTTCTTTTGCACAACCAAGACACATCCCTTCTGATGGGTTACGTGTAGAACACTGCCGACTGCGGTGGCGCTTTCCCTCGGCGCTACATTTTGTCCACTTATTCCAATTCTTGAAACCATCCGATGTGACATATTTTGCTTCTAAAGAAATGAATGCAAGGCAGAAAAAAAAAATTTTAACTAATTATCGAAGATATTAACTACTACAGTACTACTAAATCCTTTCCAAGCCACTGGGGCTCATAGGGCTGGAGCTTATCCCCAGTTTCTGTATTGTGAAGCGGATGAGAGTTGTACTCTCCCTGGACAGGACACTAGTTCGTCACAGGGTAGTCCCCAGCAGTTTGCTGGTACCCATTGATACAAATCTGCATAGCGGAGACTCGAACCTCTGACCTTACGATTGATGTGATATCATCATGACCAGATTGAGGGTGTCACATGTTTTTGTCAAATAAAATTTGATAGTTAATCTAAGGCTTTAGTTATTAACTATCAATTAAAAAGTTTTAGAATAACTGTAAATTAGTTAACAAATTAGCTGTCTTGATCTGTCACATTTGACATTGATATTTTATATGATTTATCAAAATTTAAAAAATGAAAGTTTTAATTAAATATTCTAAGGCTCTTCCAGAATTAACTACCTATGACTATTGTATGACAGACCTAGTAGTTAATAATCTTAATATGTGGCAAAAACAAGCCAAAACAGTTTAGTTATTAATACAGGGTTAAAGATAAAAATGAGTGCTATAAAATGGTAAAAGAATTATTTAAATCTGACATTTCCTTATGATGTTACAAGCGTTTAAACATACAGCTGTTTAAAGAACAATATTTGAGAAATCAGCCTTCAAAGTTTATGATTTCAGGCATTTCTCAGGCAGACACCATCAACAAATTGTTAAAAATTGTTGTTTTAACATTGAAAATGGGGAAAATAACAGCACAGTATGATGTATATAAAGGTTAGTTTAGTGCAATAAAATAAATTTTAAAAATGTTGACATTTCAGCATGTTTTGGCCATTATCTCTGAAACACAATTTGCAACGATGACTGGTTTGGCATCCGTGCCACATATATAATCTATATATAAATGAATTAATCAAGTCTGAATCTGATTCATGTTTAATTACCTGGTTTACATTCCTCTTTTATACATATGACAATCTCTGTTGAATTTCCGACACAGTCTGTGCCTCCAAATGCAGGTTCCGGGTTGGTACATTGCCGATAACGTTGTTTAAGACCCTCGGTCCCACTGATTTTTGCCGTACACTCGCCCCAAGCAGTCCAACATGACCATCCGCCATTTACTACAATGCCAAAGTCAAATTATAAATTACTACGTTGTTTGATTTAAATATATATTGGACAATTTATAATTTACTGAAAGTTGTTCATTAACCCTTTCACTGCTGTAGGTATATGCACCTCCTGTGCTGGGACTTTTTAGAAAGGGGTTATTTTTAAATAAATGCCTTGAAAAAAATACTAAAAGAGATTATTTTGAAGTTGTTTTTGTGTTTTTGTTTACCAATGAGGTTGGCCTACTGGAAAAAAATGAAATTGAAATTTTTAGTCAAATGGTCACGTGACCTTGTGACCTTGACCTTGAAAATCACCATTTTTGGAAAAAAATTCTAAAAAAATATAAATTCTTATGGGAAGAATTTTTTTTTTCACTGGATATCTAAATATACATAAAATGAATAAATAAATCATTAGTTTTAATTATTTTCATAATTCTATTCAGACAGAAATTCATTTTTGCAGACAGAATCGCGAAAAAAAACTTTAAAAATCGCTGTAAAAAAAGTTTTTGGAAAAAAATAGTCATTACTGCAGGAAATTCTGTAGATACCCCCTCTATTTCATAGAAACAACTATAGAGGGCGCTACACTACAGGAACTATTTTAAAAATAATTATTTACCTATACCGGGTACTACCGAGTACGCGCTATTCAACAACATTCATTTTTTCCCGGTACTACCGGGTACGCGCACTGAAAGAGTTAAGTATTTGAATGTTAAGTTTATGTCCTTATTAGAAAAATAAAATTATTTCAATATTGGTATATTGTTGAAAATATATAGACATGTAAACTTTGATTTTAATAAATCCTTTGCTTCAGAAAGTACAGTATACAGTAGTGGATCCAGGAAATCAAATTAGAGAGGGCCCAAGGAGTGGCATTCATAGATGGAAGCTATAGCCAGTCCATGTTGGGGCTGAGGTAAGAAAAATTATGATTATGGCTCTAGATGGCCGGAAATGGTACTCTCAGACTTAAATTTCACTATAATTGTCTTTTTTCTCCATTTTTTAATATTTTGGAGAAATTTAGAAGGGGCCCAGGCCGGCTGGGCCCTCCTTAAATCCGCCACTGGTATTATGCAGTAGTTTAGATTGGAAATAAATATGTAAAGTATTTAGTTAGACTATTCATAGTACCTGGACAAGTAGGTCTGCTACATGATCTTGTTTCATAGTCAGGCCCTATGCAGAGATTGCTTCCAGGAAAACAACCCCTATACCTCACTTCAACCCCATCACCACAAGACACGGAGCACTCTTTCCATTCTGACCAAGCAGTCCAGCCTCCAAAATTACCTGAAGAGAAAAACAAAACAAAATTTGTATCACTGAACAACAACAATATCTGTTGCATATGACAAGACAAACCAGTCACTCTTAGCAAAAAAAAAAAATTTTTTTTTTAAATCAATTTTTAGTTATTAATACAGGGTTAAGCAGTAAAATAAAAGTTATAAAATTGTAAAAGAATCATTCAAATCAGACATTTTGCTACAAAGTTACAGGCATTTAAACATACAGCTGTACAAAAAACAGTACTGAGGAATCAGCCTTTTTTAAAGTTTCTTGGCCATATCCCAGAAAGAAACCATCACCAAAGCATTAAAAAATTGGGAAAAAAATAACAGCAGAGCATTGGTATAGATAAAAAGATTTGTTTAATGCAATATATTAGATTTTTAACAATTTTGACATTCCAAGATGTTTTGGCCATCTCAGAAACACGATATGCGAGGAGTGACTGAATTGGCTTATTTTCGCCACATATACAGTAGTTCATTCTCATCATCACAATCATCATCCTCCTCACCGTTATCTTCACCACCACCCTCCCCTATCAACATAATTATCCCTATCACACCTCCAACATCATCATACTCATCATCGCCAACTCATCATCATAAAAATCATTATCATCATTACTATTTTTATTAATCGATCATCTAATTAAATGTGTGAGAAAGAACACTTTACAAGTATAATACAAAATTACAATTCAATTTTAAATATTTTGTGTCTAAAATCACAGACATACCTGACTGATCCCAGCAACTCTTGTCATCAAATCGACAGGTCTTCTGACTTTCTTTGATTCTTGCAACATTGATACGTTCCTGCTCTGGCACAGGTGCACGGCACATAAACCGCACACGTCTCAACATGTACCCCTTTTCAGTTATATTTGTAACTGTCCACGATGTCCATGGCGATGTTCTTCGTTTATCTTTTAAAAATTGGGAAAATTATTTACTGTATATTATATTTGTATATTTCATTACAAGTGATGTCCATTGAAAATTGGTTGTTTGTAATTTATAATGTATTACTGACCTACAGTATTTGTTACTGGTCTTTTGTATATTGTTTTTCAAAAATTTTATAAATTTATAGAAATCTGTGCAAGATGTTCTTAGGTTGGCAGGATAAATTATTAGGATTATACTTTGACTGACCTGAAATGAAGATGGCTATATTTTTAGGACTATTGGGGTATACACGATTTAAAATAACAGACTTTAATGATAAATGCACATCATATAGCCATTGAAATATTTAAGAATAATAAAAACACATTTGTACATAAATTTAGTTGCTAACCTATTTTATTTACTATTCTATTTTATTTTATTCAATTTCCAGGGAAAATATAAGAAAATAAAATAAAAGTACAATAGCACCAAAAATAAAACAATTCAAAATAATTTCACACTGTCGAATGGCAAAAAAAAAAACACAAAAATACTAAAAAAAAAAAATAAATAAAAACTCCCTAAAATTTGATGCTTTTAATTATATGTTTAAATCTCTTCTCAGCCCTCTAAAATCTCACAATTGTAGTGGAAAGTAGCATGTTAGAATATCTAAATTTGCATTATACAAATGTTGAAGTCCCACTTCATATATCTTGTCTTGGTCTTACCTGGACAAGGTTCTGTATTACATTCTTCCCATTCGATGGAGTTGCCAACACATTGTTTTCCATCCGGACATTTCCGCGTATGTGATCGAAAACCGCCATTACATTTTGCCGAACATTCCGTCCACTCTTCCCAATCTCCCCAGGTGCCTAAAAGATACCAGATTAAAAGAATTAATTAAGAAATGAATAAAGCAAAAAACGAAACTTTTTAATAAAAATTGTTAGTGCTCACAGAAATCCTAATTCTAAAAAAATTACTTCAAATATAACTACTAATTTACTCTATGATGTTCAACCGCAATTATATCTAATTCAAAAGGCATTTGAAAGATATGAAAAAAAACACATACAACGCTACACAATTAGGAAGTTTTTGCCATTTTGTGGTAAAAGTGTGTTTTCATCACTTAAGGTTGTAATCACTTATTATTAAAGAAACGCAAGAATATAATTGCTGTAGTGGTAAATCCAAAGTCACCATAACTCTCTAATTTAAATGAAGCAAACTCAAATTTCAAATTTCTCAATTCAGAAGCCCACAAATGTATTTTAGCAAAATTGATTCAATGATTAACGGTAATAGCAATCTAGGCACTTTGATGTGTTCTTCTGCTTAGTAACCAAATTTATTAAACATGACAGTCACAAGCTACCATGTTTCCAGAAAGTTATTAATTACATATTAGTAAAAATTACTTAAAATTTAAATTAACTATATGTCATACAACTGGATTATAAGAGGATTCAAAGTAAACTTATAGATTTCACATTATCTATTTATTTATATTTTATATCACATTATATGAAAAACACAATGACTGGACTCTCTGACAAGGGAAAGAAAGTTAAACTTCTATCTAAATCACATTCTTCTACATGGCATGCACATACAAGCATAGCAGCATAAACTACTAAGCATACAGATCAGTTAAAGAAAACCTATTATATTAAACATTACAAGATATACTGCCTTGGGCTGACCTTAAGAAATACCACCCCCCCCCACCCCCACACCCAAAAAAAAAAATATTCGGATTGCTTACAAGGTACTGTACATTAACAAATGTTTGTAACTTCCAATTTATATGTAGAATAAAAAATATCTTTGCTAAATAACAGATAATAAAGAATATATTTCTATATGATTTTGCATAAATTGGTTGGTACTATTTTTTTGTTTAATAATTATAATTTGTAATTAGTTTTATTCTTTTAAATTAATTTTCCAATGAATGCAATGGTCTTTTTCAAAACAGTATACCATTTAAGAGTTTTACTAAATGCTATTAACACCATTGTGTTAACATAAACCAAACTAATTTCTATAACTACTGTACATAACGCTACAAATGTGATCACGGTACATCATTAGGAACACAGTATAACAAACATTGAAATTCAAAATAATGTTTTTTGAAAAGTATAAAATTATCTCTGTTGTTCCGGCTATAAAGAGAAAAATGTAAAATATTGAACATTTAAAAAAACAAATATCATTAAATTGAATCTTCCATAAAATATGCAATGATCAGGTAAATGTTCAGGTACAATATTTCTATTTACTACATACATCCTGTTTCAATAAATAATACAATTACTGAAAAAATATAACTATATATTTTTTATTGTTTTCAACAATGGAGGAATCAACTTCAAAGCTGCAAGGTTTTTCTACACTACAGTACATGCACAATTGATACCAATAAATCAACAAATGGTAGTTACAATGGTATAGCACCCTCTATAATTACAAACTTTGCAATTATGGAGAGTTGATTGAGGGGGAAAAAAGCATATTATTTCTTTGAGGTTGTATGGAAAAATACAAAGGTAAGTTTTGTACACCTAAACCAGAGGAATACTAGTCAACACAGCAGCCTAGGGAAGATAAGGTATTTTAGTAAGTATTCTGTTGGAATCTACTGGTAAAGCTAAGTCAGAGTTCGCTACTGTCTGGAACAAAATGGAGGAATACGAAGGCTAAGACTTGGACGAAATAACGGAAAACTTAAAGATTAGATGGTATGTTAATGCAAAATATCTGGACAACATGTTATGTTGAAGTACGGAATGTTAAACATGAAAAATTAGGAGGATGAACATATTACGAAAGGCTTAGCCAATATTAACACTTATATTTCAGTTTATTTTATGAGATTAAACACTTCTGCATGGCCAAATTAAAATAAGACATTTTCTTTTTATTTGCTGTTTTTTTTCCATGTAAATTTAATATTTGTTGGTTTTGGAACATTTGGTTGTTTTAACAGCCAAGCATGCCAAAGCAAGACAATTTAAATCCGGGTAAAATATTAATTAAAAGATGTAATATGTAGGGGATGTTAGTAGAATGAACGGAGACAAAATCATCAAGATGATCACACCAGACTGAAGGTAATACAACATGGAACACTTGGAAGACATTTTATAACAAGTTGCCTAGGTAACAATAAAGGAAGAACAGGGAGATCGTTGGAGATGAGTATCAAGCGATTAAGGTTGCAAAGAATTTAAACGTAAAAAAGCAAACCCAGCATAAACGCACTAATAACACTGCCACCTGTTGAAGATGCCTGGATGAAGTTTATAAGTTGTAGACATGAACCGAGAACTGGATAAGAAATCAATAAAAAATAAAGAAAAAACAAAAACAGAAAGGAGAAATGTTAACAAAAATCATATTTTGAAAATAAACAAGATAGAGTGATATGAAAGTAGGAAGAAAGAAAAAGCAGTGAGAAGAGAAGATACACTTAAAAAACAATCAATAGTGCTTGAATGTAGATAATTAAATTGAATTTATAAGAAAATGAATACATAAATATCAATTAATAAACATCAGTGAATTTTAAAGTAAGAATTCCACTTAAAAATCAGCAAATTATTATTTTTTTGTTGAGTCTATATAATCATCATCTCTTTATAAATGCAATTCTGCTAAAGGTATGCAGAAGTAAAAGATATCAATAACATCTTATAATAATAAGCCCTCCCACAATAACATAACTATTTATAGACAAAATTTTAAAAATATGTATATAATTAGTGAAGTAATTACATAATTTACAAATGATTAAAAATAATCACCTGTACAGTTGACCACTTCAATGGATGCATCCAAGCACGGCATACCACCACATTTTGGAGCAGGACTATCACATATCCTGGTTCGACACATGCATTGCTCCCAACCGTTTGGACTGTTACAATTGGCCCAATCTGACCACTTAGAATAACCTCCATCAACTAAAGAGAAATTATCTCCAATTAACATTTTTTAAGGAATGTCATTATGCTTATCTAAAAAGCATATCAATTAAATATATAAAGAAATTAACTGTTAATATTGTTCTTATTCAAGATTGGAATATTAATTATTTCAAAAATAGTTTTGAAAAAAAAGTATTAATTTGAGACAATGCAAAAGTTATATAAAAACAGTTATAATAGTGTTATTTAAAACAATAAAAAAAATATATGTAAAGAGAGAGAGTTTGGGAAAGAGAAAAATCTGACCATAGATACTGAAACTTACTTGGACCACTAAGGATGGGGCAAGAAGACATGTCTTGTATCCATCCTTCAAAATCAGATCTATAAAGCAAAAAGAATATCATAAATAATTGAGATAGTTGCTAAACAAAGCTGCAATCACATTTTCCAGGGAAAAAATGTTATCTCGATATTCCATCAAAAGGAGAGAAAATGGAAAATAAACACCAGATGAAAATGTTAATAAAAATTGAAAATATGATTTATGCAACCCCCATTTGGCCTTCAACAACCTGGAAATTCTAGCTAGTATGGTACCATCTTTCTGTTTTTCTAGTTGTATCACCATCTCATCTGAATGAGCAATTGAATACAAAATAGCCTAAATTAAATAGCACTGTCATAGAAATGGATTTAATTCCAAAGAATTTACCATGAATAATATTGTAACTCATTTTATTCAGTCACTGTTTTGGTAATTAGCATTTATCAAGACTAACATCAAATATCAAAATTTAAAAAAAACCTACAATGACAAAGGTGGTGAACTCCCTGAGGTAAGCAAAATGCGGGAATTGAGTTGCCTAGCATGATATCGATATATATTGCACAAATCACAGCTGGTGATTTATTAAATTTGATCTTGAATAATGCCAAACGGATCTGATATACTACTTCTGTTGAATGTTCCTGATGGAACACAATCCGTCGATTACTAAGAAAGATCTTTCCGAGATAAAGTGTTTTTATGTATAATTTCAATACTTCCAAATGTCAATCAAACATATGGAATCCGTCTGGTACAGGAATGATAACTCAATCAGGTCTAATTGGGGGAATCCAAGTATCTTTAGACTCAATCTTTGGCATAGAAAATGAGTTAGTCCTAAAACACTTGTACATAATACAACCTCTGACCATGCCATCAGATATAGGCATAAGTTATTCATCTCAAGTCTATCATCTTCTCGACCTAGTTTTGAAAAATTCCAAACACCAATTGCCATATAAGCAAAAAAATAATTTGTATTTGATATTATTGGTGTAAACTGATGATGATGAAAATTATGAAGATGATGATGATGGAGATTATTATGATGATGGAGATGATGATGACGAAGATAATGATTATGATTATGATTATTGTACGTTATCCAGTGACCAGGGGTAATAACGCTCGCGCCTTTGATAGTTCTTGGAATTAGCGCCTTATAAATGTTGAGTATTATTATGATTATAAAGATGAAGATGATGACGACGGTGGTGGTGATGATGCTGAAAATGATGAAGATGATAATGATTATTATTATTACTATTTAATGTTCAATGAATAGACAGACACTGTGTAAGATGATAAAATTAAAGACAAGAATAACTTATTTTATTTTTATTCATTAATTTCAGTAAATATGAATTAACTTATCAGGCAAATTTTAAGTGAGAATGTATGAAACAATTTTTATGTTAAAACTTAGTATAAAAGTTTGCTTTGTGATATATTCAACAAGTGCTGAGAGACATAATCTCACGAGGTTCTGCACCCACACAAGTGCTGTCAAGCGTGAGAACATCATTTTAAATCTGTTGGCAGGCTATCAAATTGGGCCTTTTCCAAATCGCTTTCTTTTTTTTAATCTTTAACGGAAGAAAAACATGCCTCTGGCTTAAACGAGTGCAAAGTAGCATGTTACAGTGCAGGAGAATTATTCAGGTTTTAATGTCAGTTTATTTATAAACGCTTCAGTTTTTAAAAGAGAGGGCAGGATTTGTAATTAAATATATTGATTTGTTACCTAATTAGCCTTAATGGCGTTTATATCACATAGTGCTTTATTATCATCTTTTGACATCTTATTGGGTATTAATTAGCAGCAATGGGCAGACGCTACATTTTTTACATAGATGTTATCCTCTCGTTAATGCTGGAGGATATGATGTCTTGATTACTTTTTGTTTATACAGGATGTCATCTCCAATTAAGTTCCACAAGTATTTCTGCATCATTCCTGCATGATCAACTCTATCAGAAGAGACTCCAGGATAAACTATAGATCACATGATTGGGTAATCACATTCCTACAAGTATTACAGGCAGATGAGTTAATTAGATGAACAAGACATGTACCAGGACTGTGGTTTATATGCATGTTAATATTAGTCAATGATGATTCTAGAATAATGTTGTATTCAATGGAATAGTTCTCAGACAAGTGGTAAATTACTCTTGCCGCTTAGGATATGGAATGCACTTTATAAACTACAGTAAGTCTGATCTTAGGAAGTGAAGTTGTTTTTAAGCATGAACAGAAGCCTTATGTCACAGGATTTGAACATAGGAATCTGAGATTATTAGGTGGGCATCTTAATCTCCAAACCACAGCTCTAATGTATAATTTACATCAAATTATAAGGCTTTGTGATGCTTTCTTAAGAGAAAGTAAAATAAAGGCTAATAATGATAACAATAATCAACATCAATTTTTAAAACATGAATGTACTGGGATATGTATAATACTGCTGCACGTCCTCTATAGTACGGTACCTGTTGTTAATACAAATTTAGGCTTTCCAAATCCAGCATTAGTGAACAAAATATGCAAATTAACCATTTAATATATTCTCCAAACTATAAGCTTGTAAATGATGTGCCATTTAATGGAATCAATTTGCCAAGTTATGAGTATTAAGCTTCTCTGTACTAATGTGTACAATACTGACACATTCCTATGTTAACCTACTCAGTTTAACAATTAGCAACAGTGTGCTGGTTTTGGGATGGCAAGTTTCATTTCTTATATTCTTTTTATTTTGCATTTTGAATTATTATTTTAAATAAATAATACATAAATATTTTCTTTTTGCTGAGTAATGTTTTCAAACTCATGTATATTTTGATATGATCACTATCTCTTTAAACTCAGACATTTAAATTCATTTTAAGATAACTGAAAAATCACAGATCTATCATGACAGTACATTGAAGCCGAATTAAATAACATCCACACACGAACAGGTTTAGCCCCTACTGTCAACTAACATGACTTCATTAACGAAACAGTGACTATTCAAGCATGCAGAGTTTTACCTCGTTGTTAATTACAGTCAATTAGCCCCCTTCCTGCAGGCTTAGCTCAAGGTGACACTGCGATGAAATGACCCCGTTAATAGCTTCCATAACAGACCAACAGAAAACAACTTTGTATATTGAACATTTTGCACAAACCTTTATCCCCTTAGTTAAATGTTGAAAAGCTTAGGGTTATTAATATGGACATACTGTTTTTAGATATCTTAAGATAAAACAGACAAAAAAGGAGCCCAAATATTTATAAGGAAGAGGATAAAAAAAAATGTATTATTAGCTGTAGGTAGGGGAATCAAACTCTTTCTATTTGAGTATAAAAATACATAACATAAGCAAATCTTACACTTGGTATATTGAAACACACTTCGCTTCGTTCTTTTGCCATCCACAATACGGGTCCATTGCATTAAGACACGTTACCTCTGTGATGAATCGCCCACACCTTTGCACCGGTACCTTCATTACCTTGTTCTGTAGTCCTACATACAACATCCCCTGTGGAGGTTGCAAAACAGCATGTTAAAACAATTCATCGGTGCATAATCCGCTCAGGTGTACATTACGCTGGTTTTACGTGATTAACAATCTCCCTACTGACTTAAAACATCTAATTCACCAACCAACATGACCACGCTAAATCTATTTCTCACACCTTCAGTTATCGGTCGAAAACTGTTTTCATATTTCATATGACAAAAAAATGTTCCTTGGAGACAATAGAGAACAATGAAATTCTAGAGCATAACTAGGTCAGTCTAAGGTATTCAATTAATTACGTTCAGCAAGACATCAATTTGTTGTTATTTCTAATTCATAGATCTTTTAGTTATTATGATTTTCTCTTTAAGTAAATTGTCTTCCTTTGTTGTATTGTAATATTATCAACTTTTTATCAAAAAAAAAAAATAAATAAATTAATATTCAGATTACTTACCCTTTCAACGTCAAGTTTCACTGTTTTGACTATAGCATGCTCATCTTCCTGCAACAACACATAAAAGAATATAATATACAATTATTTGTAAATAGTTTTCCATAAAATAAATAACATGATCATAATTCAGAACGTTCTAATAAACAATTTTAATATTCCAATTCAAAACTATTATTTATTGTATATGGTTATATGACACATAGATCATATTTACGTATAAATTCATTGCTGTATAAATATTAATGTTATTATTATTATTATTATTATTATTATTAATTTTATTATCACCATAATTGTTAACATTTTTACTACCATTATGTATAGTTCCACTTATCACAATCATTAGCTATATATTAAAAATATATTTACAAAAAAAATTAATTCAGTGTTTCCAAATTTACAGAAATAACGCAATTACTGTAGTTGTTGTTGTTGTAGTTGTTGTTCTGATATTAATTATTTAAAATAAACTATTTGTATTCAAAAAAAAGTTTCATGTATTGTATCTTCTCCCTCCCAGCTCATATAAATGCTGGCTAAACTATGACACACTTCTTCTGAGTATGCATAATTGATTATAATTAACAACATTTATCAAGAAGTATGGAGCCATCTTGGTGTTAATGTCTAATAAAAAAAGAAACTATCAACAAACTCCAGACTCAACATTTCCATCACCAGGACTATTCTCAATATAGCATAAAAAAATAAAATTGTCTAAACCCTTTAATTGAAAAACGAGCATCACATCTTCCGTGTTTAAGCATGGATAGGTAAACCTCAGATCACTTCCAAGTGTCAACATAACATATGGTAGGATGAAACCAACTCCAAATAAGCTATGACAGAATACGAGGTACAGGGGTGTTTACCCCGATATGCACTGTACATGACTAAGCAATGCATTCATACCTAATTATCAAATGACACTGTACAGTAGAGAATGAATCAAAATAGAAGAAAGTGAGTGGCTGGAAGAGCAAGTGGAAAACGGAAATGAAGTGAAACCAAAAACGTGTAATCATTAACAATCATAGAACATCAATAATATCAAACAATATCAAAAATATTACTTTTCTAATATTCTCTAAATATTTTACGTAATTTACCATCAAGATTTAGGACATCCAAAAGCAAAACCAATGTTAGACTGCCCTTCAACAACACATGGAGTTTGGATCAAAGTTACATAATCTCAAAGGAGTTTTCCCAGGTAAAAAATAAAGTGTGTTTTGAAACTTTCCATGACTGATTTACATACATTGTTTTTTCACTGCAAAATTAATATCTCAAAGAACAACAGTATCCTAAGGAGAAGCCACACTCCTAACAGATATTCCCAGGCCTACCACAAATTATTAATATCAATGATTTTTCACAGCAACGGTAGGGTTTGACATGGTAGATTTCCGTTACGAGGTCCTTCCATGGTTTCATTTTCAAGTCTTTGAAATCTTGTGGTTAAAAGGCATCTCGAACCAAAATCTTGAAGCATTTAGTAAGAATTATTGCATCACCTTTAGTTGCTTCTTCTACCTGAAAAGTGAAACTAATTCGTTGCTGTTTGTCTTCTTCATAGCCTGGTTTGTCTGTTTATTATCAATATTCCTAATATCCCTAAAGATCGCATAACTGGCCTACTGAACTGGCATGGAATCAAAAGAGCACAAAGTACCAGATTCTTTTATACAGTTGAAAAGACAATATAGTGATATTCTACTTACAAACGACTAATGTATTACAAATTGATAAATTTTAAAAAAATCATCAAAATGCCAACCATTAAACAAAAATAAAGTATTTTATAATATTATTATATTAATATTTTAATATTATATATTCTAATAGTTTATTTAAATATTTAACTGTAACTTAAATATGTTATGGAAAATTAGACCTATATATATATTCATTTCCAACAATATTTAAGCCACCCTGTTTTGTTAATATTTACATCTATGGCATTAATATCTAAATGACATATTTTCATTTGTCCTAATATTTATTTTTTATTGAAATTAGAAAAAAATATTCTTAAATATTTTATTTTACAATATTTTAGTTTTTTCATTTAATGTTGTCTAAAAGATGTGAATATTGTCAATAACTTATTAAAGTACATGTATATTATGCCTATAATTATAGAAATGTATGTTTAGAAACCCTCACTTAATTTGTATTTATGTTTTATTATGTTGAATGGGCTGAAGGCCTATTTATTGAATAAAAGCCTTTGGGCAAAGTATTATATTATTTGTTTAATTATATTATTAATATTCATTTTAACATGATAGATAATAGTTTTTAGGTTTTAGTTTTTACTGTAGTTAACCCATTTGTGATATGTAATTAATTATTACTTGCACTCAAAAGACAACTTTACAAGTTCACAACAGAATTATAAAGCACCCTAAAATAACAGATTCTTACTTTCCCCTCTTTTTTAAATAATAGGCCAAATTGTATGAGCTGCATCAGAGAAAGTTGATAATTGCTTCCTGAAGGGGGCAATAATTGGCGCGACTCCCAGGCCATCCAACAGGTGCCAGCCCCTATAATACTAGCCACCTGGTAAACTTGTGATACTGACTTACTTAGAATATTTATATTTCTACTTATATTCTATTTCAACTAATCTTATAATCTATTCCTACTCAAACTTAATTCCTTCTTTATTCAATAATTTAAGTACCTAAATCCCAATATTCTAACTTAGTTATTTATCCTGTTTTAGGTAAAATATCTATTAAAAAAATATTTATAGTGAAAATTAATAACAACAAATATGTATGACTTTCAAAATTCTAATACAGATTATTCTTTAATATGGTAATGTAACACTGACTTGCAATATATACATGTCACTGGCTAGGATCATTATTTTAGTGTTCTTATTGATTTGGTCATCTTCGAGGTATCTATCTACGGTATATCAATTAAGGCAAAGATCAGTGTTACCAATAAATATTATCTTGTTGACATACAATGAGAGAGAAACAAAAGATCGAATGGAATTGCACAAAGCTGTGGGTATCATAAGTATGTTTTATAATTACAGTATTATTGTTAGCGCTTGAAATTGCATAGAAACAAAAGCAATACGGATGTTTAAATAATTGATTTCGTATTAATACCGAATGATTCATATTATAACCAAATGTTACTATTTAGTGAACATAAGGTAGACTATTAGAAGTGTCAAAGCATGGGAATTATATTCCGGATAGAAACTTATTATTATGAATGACAAATTGTTTTTGTCCTAATTTAATTTCTGCAAATTGATTGTTCATTGTTCAAAACAGTAAGTGTTACGGTTTGATACGGTTCTGTATCTCTTGGGTTAACGATGAGGTATAATTAATGAAAGGTTTGATAATGTTTTGGGAGTTGAACTAATTTAAAACTAAAGACAAAGAACATTATTATGCTACTCATAATACTGAAAAGTTTTTTTTTTTATTAGCAAGCATGTGCGCTATGAAATATTAATATTATGGAATTTACTTATAATTATGTTTGTGTGTATGAAATATGCACACTTGAAAGTCGAGCCTAAGACAAACAAACTTATGTTGGGTACTGCCAATCAATGCGATCAAATACTTATTATTGCCAAAGGGAACTATAAAAAAATAAGATAGAATGTTTTAAGATGCCAAGGGGAAAAAAGACCTGATCAAAGATGAAAGGGAAAGAAGCGACTTGAGGGATCTGATCAAATCATTGTACAGGATATCTCTATGACATCAATGTTAGATGATACCCCAAAGGGATCTGATCTTTATCTATATTATTATTTTATTTTAATACTTTCACATACATCAGACAAATAACTATCTTATGGAATCCATTGAACCTGTGTTTTCATGTCAAACGTTTGTTTCAAGTATTAAAATTTGCCAATTCATTTACTTTTTTCTTGGGATTATCTGAGGTTAGTTACACCAAAGATGAAAAAAAATGTTGGTTAAATGTTTTTTTTTGTTTGTACATAAATACAGTGGCGTATCTGGGGGGGATTGCACGCCACCCCCCCAAAAAAATTACTCACTTCCCCCAGTTGCCCAACCCAAAAATGATAGTCAAGTAGATAAAAATCAACTAAAATCACCATATTTTGCAAATTAGTGCCCCTCAACTGATTATCGAGCCCCCACTTCACCTTTGCGCCCCCCTCATCAGCACCCACATTTCAAGACTAGATACGCCACTGCATAAATATCTAATCAGTATTCTATGCTCTTCCTTCAGATACTAAATCATGTAAGTACATAAAGGACATGAGAGGTCATTACATAGTAAACCAAATATGTTAAAATGATGGTGAAAATGATTGTGAAACTACCAATAGCCAAAAACAAAAAGCATGCAAAGGATGCATGTTTAACGTAACCTTTACTTTATTGATTATAAAAACATAATATTAGTTTCTGCAACAGTGCAGGTAATCCTGTGGGAAAAGATGGTGTATTGCAGAAGGCAATTCTCAAATGAATGTAAATAAAATCTGAAACATTTATATTTATGGTTAGATAAAAATCACAATCTGGCCAACTTAAGTGGCAATATGAATCAGAAAAGCTGTTAATTTCTTAAAATAATGTCAAAAATATTAATCTAAATATCATCTTCCAAAGTGCAATGCGTTGTTGGGGAGACAATGTTGCTACCACGAAGTATACTGACATTTATCGCCGCACAGTTCATTTTTAATTGTGTGTTGAAATGCATTTCTCCATCTGTTAGAAACACATCATTGGGTTGAAAATAGGTCAGTAGCATCAACTTTGGTAGAATATGAAAATATTTCAGACAATTTTTTTGGAACAGTAGATGTAAAACACTGCACCAAAGCTACGGAACTACCAATTAATATATCAATGATAGCTTGTATATCAGATGATTTAGTTTATTTTTTTTTCTGCTAAAATGAATCAGCAATTGCATACTTACAGGCATCAGGTGAATCTCCTCTACTACACATGATGACACTTGCCCTGGCAGAGTTACAACCTTTTTGACTTTTCCCCCCTCTGTGAGAGGTAGAGTAAAATTATTTCATGAGAGTCAAGTATGTGATAATTGAGCGTGCTTGCCAAATAAAAATAAAATACATTTTAATAACACCTGTTATAAATTCATCAAGTATGAACAAATATAATAATCAAGAAATTATGTTTATTATTTATTTTATCATAATGAGTAATTATTTAATGTCTACTATAAATATAAATAATCTATTAAGATTTTCTGTTTGATTAAGATGAAACATTTCTTGACCACTTAAAATTTTAAAAAAAACCCATAAGTTTATAGTATAAAACCCCCACCCCAAAAAAACATTACATTTTATCAGTGTTTAACCTTTGACCACAACACAAAATGAAAATCTATTGAGATCAAAGTTTAAACACTGTTACATTTGTACTCCAACACACTTAAAACAATACTTTTTAAATATTTATAACATTATCATTAATTAATAGGTCCAGGGTTTTATCTATGTGTTCTGATTTCGTACAATTGTCTCAATTCAGCCTTTGGCTGCCATGTACAATTAGTGATGTTTTTCTGAATAAATATACCTTGAATAATACATTAATATTATATTTTGAACAGAAACATTTAAAGTCTTAAAATATGGAAATTAGTTACTCACCTGTACCAAGGAAAACTACGCGGTAACTTTGCCCTTTCACAACAAGTTTGTCAACACTCACTTGAGTCACTCTGATAAGAAAATAATCATGGGTTTTAAACACATAAGTAACATTAGTTAATTAAAAAAGCTAACATATGAAAAATTTGAACTTATCCTAAACATTATGGAAAATAATCCTTTATCAAATTAAATCATAATTTCATATTTTAAAAAAATTAAATAGTGAGAAATTATAAATCTTAACGGAATATCAAATACGATATGGTATCAAAATGTATATGAAACTTTCATTTGTAACAAAATTTAATGTATGTTTCTCGTCGGGAAACATTTTTTTCAGTTAATGAAATCGCCAGAGTACAGATCAAGTTAGCTGTCTGAATACAGAGCTCACTTCCTGAATCCAAATCCAGATGAGAACAAAACTTAAGAAGTTTCAATCTACAGTAAAAGGTGAAGTCTTCAGATTGGCAAGTGTCCTGTACGCAATGTCTTCCTAAGGGACTCTTCACGTTGTTTATCGTTACTCGCTAATTTCCCTTCACACAGGTTAGTTATTACGGATAAGTGAAAAACAGAGATTGTTTCAGCGTATCATATGTTTGAAATATCATTTTTATAAGTACGAATTTAAATATGCAGCTAAATACATGTATATATAAATGTACATATATTCTCTTATACACATCTAGATGTGTATAAGAGACAGATATATATATATATATATATATTTATGAGTGTTTGAATAATTACAATTTTGAAAATGTATATGTTATATTATTTTCCCATTTTCATCAAAGATTATAAAATACAAGAATAAATCTCTAAAATTTTAATAAAACCACAAAATTAAGCATGACGAAGTAAGGTGACATCCAGGTAAGGGATTTGTTTTCTATTATTATTATTAAGGGGATTTTTAACTATCTGACTATAATTTTTTTTTGCTTCAAACATTTTAAGTGGAAGGGGTTGCTGGTTGCGCAAGCTTTTTAGGAGCGTGCCACCTTACCACACAATGCCAAGGCTTAGTACGGTGGGCTTATTTTCCTACATTCAGTAATAAATACAGCTCAGAACTACATTTATCATCTTAACTCAGTTTTAAGTTATAAGAAGTAATTGGAATAACAACTTCTATTATGTACGATATATTTAAAAGGCTAATTAATTCTACCTTTCCTCTCCTTCGGCCTCAACATGAACCGGCTTGTTTAATAGTGGTTGTACCGCACGATCCATAAGTTGAAATCGCGCTGCTTCCTTAAGGCTGCGGTCCGACTTCTGCTTATTGCGACCCTCTTTCAGATGGCACTGGATGGAAAAGAAAGTACAAAAAATAAAAAAATTAAAAAACATGATTTTTTAAATTATCAATATCTACTACAGTAGTGTTTTGAAAGAATATTTGTTTTCATCAATCAAAACTGCTTCAGATAACAACAGATAAAAAGTAACAAAATATCAAGATAACTACTTTAAACTGAATGTGAAATACAGACATGGAAAAAAGCTGTATAAATGTAAGAAACTATTATTAATGCAACAGGCAAAAGGTATTTGTATGTTCCTGTGAGGGTTTCCAACTTCTAAAATTGATAAACCTATTGTTATATGGAAACTAAGAAATAATTTTATTATTACTTTAACAACAGGGATATTGTATTTTTATGAAGTTCTTTCTTTTGTTGTTGTCTACTAGGAATTATGGGTTTATACTGGATAGAAACTAAGAATTCTGATCATCCTTCAGGGACTTTCAAGGTTTAAAAGAAATTAGTAACCAAAATCAGAGCAGTCAATATGAATCACAGTTTAATACTCTCGATTAGAACATAATGATGATTGTGAAAAGTTTTAAAAAAAGTAATTGAATTTAAACTAATAACTGGCTAGTAATTTGAAATGAAAGATGTAGACATTATCATCATCTTCAAAATTCTCACAAGGGTTTCTTACATGTCTGTGAAAATTCTGGGAAAACTTTCAAAAGCTATCAAATAATAACTTATTTAAAAGATCAAATAAAATATCAATTTGAAATGATTTGCAAATCGAAACATTTCATTTTTTGCTGATTTACTATGAGAATCCTAACATTGATTTCTAGCCAAAGTTACTGAAAATAATAAAGGAGCGGTATTTTTTATGCCTCTATTTGGCAAGGAACATACTTTTTCTTGTTCGAAATTTTCAATTGAAAGTAAATAACCTTCTTAAATAATACGAAAACAGTTTAAATATTAAATTTCATTTTTAAAATTAATTAGCTCTTCACAGATATTAGGCCTATTACATAATATAAAATTATGACTTTTTCATAAAAGTATTTCAAGACTATAAGGAAGGAAAATGCTATAACAAAAAAGATGAGAGAATAGAGAAGAGAGGTTGTAAAGGGAATAAATATCATACAAACATCCTATTATAATTTTATCAGTAGAAGATTCGAAGTCGCTGTAATAAAGAGAAAACAAAAAGGGAGAAAGCATGAAGCATCCCTGAGGGGCTCCGGTCCTACAGATAGTAGGTTCAATCTTTTTCCATTAAAAATAACAACTTGTCTTCTGGCACTTAAGAAGTCCAATATCCAAAGATTGTATCTTGTGCAGAGGAAAAATATGTCAAGTTTGGCAAACGAATCACATCAAAATTGAGGAAGCAAAATGAAGGATAAAATATGAAGAGGATATTGTAAGAGGCAGCTTCTATTGACTTCCTTAAGTTGCTCATAATTTATTGTTTTTAATAATTATGTTATTGTATGTCTAGTAAATATGTTTTGTTTTTGCAGTTTTTATGTACAATTAAATAAGTAAATACATAGAATAGGAAAGAAAATAGAAAAAGATTATATGAGAAGGAATGTGGTCAAAACATATTGACTTTATTAAAGTTAACTTTGACATTAAATAGATTCTTAGTATTTATATTTTAATGCGCAGTGGGTATACTCCAAAATATAGAATGATTAAATTATAATGTAAATGTATAAAAAAAGAACCAATAAAAATTTAATTGCATAAAATAACAAATAAAAATAAGGAAAGAAAGAGGGATTATATAAAAGCCATAGGCATTCATGGACATGTTTGAGTGAGAGTTATGGATGGGGATATTTAGTACCTTGAAATTTGGGCTGTTGTTTGGGTGTGGACCCCACGAGCCTTCCTTATGTTGTACTTTATATGGCCCTTCAAAGGCATTGTCAAATGATGCTATGTCGAAGGCACATACAGCCGAACCACTCATACCATTTCTAAAAGATAAAACAACATACATTCGAAGTGGTTATTTCATTCCATCATAAAAATTATGTTCATTCGGGAATGGAGATAATCAATGATGATGATGATAACATATTTGATGATTTCAGAGTTAATACAAATATATTAGTTCTATTTATTAAAGACGATGATAAGGATGTTGTTGATGATAATTTTAATTCATTGTTCAGCAAAATAAATGAAACAGTGATGATGATGATGATTTTAATCACATAGAGGGAATTTAGGTTGCACAGTTAGCATACCGCTGGGTGGTGAACACTCCATAAATGATACCATCTTTGTTGTCGTAAACAGCACTCTCTAAAATAAAGAAACAAAAATTAATTCAATTTGAAAAGCTTGTTTAAGTAAGCATTAATGAGTAAAAATTTCACCCAAATTATTATTTCAATTCATGTTCTTAAAAAAAAATTATATTTCTACATCAATTATAATTATCTTTAAAATATATTTATTTAGATTTATGACTGACTTAAATGAAACATACAGAAAGTTCAATTCATATTTCATCTCCAAAATATTTGTTTAATAACATATATAGACTGAAAAGGGGGAGAAGCAGTGTGAACTGGGCCTAGGTTAAATATTGACATGTATTTTGTAAGTCTATGCCATGGCAACTGGGAGCTTTCCCCAGACTCACATCTAAGCCCTGCTACCCTTGGATCCTCACCAAGGGAATGCAGCAGCTGAGCTACCTCAGAGCCAATTACTCTGCTTTTGGCAGCCTAAAAATCTCACTCTTCAAAAAAACAACATACTATAGCTTACTTTAACTACATTATAATTTTTTTCAAATATTAACAATCCTTCAGGAAAAGATAGAACATGTATTGTCAGATGATGACTTATATCTAATTGTATGATTTCTTGATGTCAGCTTAAAGTTCCTCAATGATTCATCCAGGGAATTGTGGAAAGTTGGAAAAATTATTTGATATCTGCATCTAAATGGCCATTAATAAAATGCTTTAGGATTGTATGAGAAGCACAGCAATGCTTGTCTTTCATCTGTTCAATAATGGCACAGAATTTCAAAAGTTTTTTTAGTGATATTATTGGATAAGTTCTCTTACATACAATATTTATAAAACTCAATTCAAACAAAATTCATAAACATAATACTGTCAGAAAGCTTTGTTTTTCAGGATGTTCTGAAAAAGAAATCACTCTAGAAATTTGACAGGTCTTGCCAACTGGTGACCCCAAAGATGACTAGTATTTAAAGAACCAAGAACATAGTAGTCGGATTATTTATGCTTTCATTTGGATTTTTGATAGTATTGATTAATAAATAAAATTATTAAAAGTCATTCAAAGTTATAATGCAGTTCATTTGAAATGGTTGAAAGTAAAGAATAATTCAAAAATAATTTATTAAGCAAAATATTTGCAGAAAATGAAAAACAATCTTACAAAAGTCAAACTGTCTTACATTTTAACCAAGGTCAAAGGAAAGGATACAAATACCAACTGGGTTATGATGTCCAATCCTAATATTACCATCATAAATTAAATTTCTTTATCCATAATATCCTAGATTTATACCTGGGATGCCACAGGGTTAAACTATTTCAAACCACTGTGCTCTATCAAAACTGTTATGAAATATATTTAATTTCAAATAAATTTTAAGAAAATTCCATTTTAAGAAAATTCCATTTTAAGAAAAGGGATTTAAACCTTTTGTAACAGAAGCCGAGTTCATTAAATAAGCTGGCAGTTATATAAACTTACTGTTGTATATTTAATTTGTATCAGTTAGGATTAATGATGATTATTTTGGATTATGTATTAGCATTATAATATACATTTACAAACATGGAAGGTTGAAAATCCAAAGTACTTTGGTTCACCAGAAAGTGCCTTGAAGAAGAACCTCCAACTACAACAAAGATTTACAACTTCTTTTAGCTGCTTAGAATTGATCACAACAGATATATCAAGGCTGCCATAATCTTTGACAAATATTCATTTATCAACATAATTACAAAAGCAGCCTAGTAGTAGATCTGAGGGTTATGCAGTATGTTCGGTCCTTATCTGGATCACAATTAATAAAACAATATTACTTATACATTTATAAAAAATATAAAAAAACTAAAGTCAAAGATAATTGGAAACATGATAGTAAACTTAGTAAGCAGCAATATAAAAAATGACAAGAAGCATAAAAGTCAGTTCTGTCCAGACTATCAAATGTTATTTGACAAAACCATGTGACATGCCTAAATATAGTCATGATGACATCACATTATGACCATATATAGGCACATCATGACTATTCATGGATAGTTTTTGTCAAAGAAAATTTGAAATCTAGACAGAGCCTAAGGGCCTTCAGATTCATGACACTAGTAACAGGGGAGTTAAAATAGTTAAAAGAAATGTCACAAGTCATTTTAATAATGAATGGCATGGGAATAGTCTGAAGCAAAGTTCCATTCAAAGTATATGAGACAAAAATAAATCTCTGTCAGATAATATGGTATATAGCACAAAAGGGAGCATTTTACATTTCAGTGCAAAACCAACACTTTCATTCACTCAATTCTATATACCTCCAGATGTGCTGTTGCTTAGCAACATTGAGATGCCTGGATTTGGGATGCTTGGAGATGTTCACAGGTCTTTCCAGGTGTAATAATATTGATGTCATGGAAGATATCAATGACTCAGTCCCCAGTTAAGGTTACTTAATTAAGCCTAGTTGAGTATCTAGGAAATTTGTGCTGGGTCCCTGGGGACTCGTGAATGTGACAGTACAGTACCATGCCTGGTATTGAGTAGTCGACTGGGGCACATTAATAATCCCCTGCTCTTTCCGAGGAGAGTACCTAATTCTTTAGCCTACACATGAGCCATCTTGTACTCAGGACTACAAGTAAAACATCTCATCCAAAAAATATGCACAGTATATCAATGAAGATCTAAGGTTCATCCAAACACACACAAAATTGCCTACCTACTAACCGTGGAGGAATATCCTAACCAAGTGAGCAAAGAATCTCTATCATATTCATCCTAACCGAGTGAGCAATGCTTCTCTATTGTATTCATTAACATTATTTCAGCAATACTGTTTGTGTGTGTTTTTTTTTTTACAAATGAGTACAGAAACTTCCATATTATAGTATTTACTTTTTCATCTTTACATTACATTTTAAAATTTTATTTAAAACTCTTTCTTCTTTTGTATTTTATTTATCTATTTTTTTGGGGGGGGGAGGGGAGAGGGAGCTAGATCAGGCATCTAACTGTTCATGTTGTGATTTCTGGGTTTTTCCCCTCATTCCTCCAGATTGTCATCTGTATTATATTATATTGTCAAGAAATACAAATAAACTGATTGATTGACAATCTAACGTAGCGTTGCAAGTACAATGAGGGTTAACGGCCAAAATATTACATAGTAAGCTACTGTTAATTTCACCATCATTAATTTATACCATTACAATTTTCAATTTATATGAGACAATACCATAAAATTATCTTTTTATCAAATACATGCTGACTATAATTACATGAAATAGCTTCAAATAGTAGAAAAAGGTTTATGATTTAAGTCTAATGTACCAAGTACATCTCAATATCACAAAAGAACATTGTGCTGGAATAGCATGAGTGGTTAGCTTCCTGTTATTTCAATGTTATAATATAATACTACATTCATTTTTTTCTGCCAAACAGTTGGCAGACATAGAAAGTAGGCCTGTATATGCTTCCGTTTGCTCCCACATCATATTCCTACATATTCCCACACAATTGCCAATACCAGAATGAATTGAGCACTCCATAAAAAAAACCAACCCATCCAGTATTTTAGTTGTCTAAACAAACCTCATACGATTTCTCTCCTTAGATAAAATATTATTTTCTATTAACTTAAGAGATATATAATTATTAACTTAAGGTATATATTGATATAATAAGTGCATGTTATTTGTTTACTTCAAAATAAGACATGAGCCTATGCAGCCATTTTATTTCATAAGTATAAATAAGACATATTATAAAGTATCCCTAGTTCATCAACTGATGTTTGCTATTGGGTGTCAAAAAAATTAAAATACAAAGTCAAATTTCAAAATCTTACGTATTTCATGGAAATAGAATGGATATTCTCCTGGAATGGAACAGTTAAGTCTGGCTTTCACATAAGTTGTCCAATTTTCAATCAGCATGTACTCACCACCAGTATCATTCTATAAAAAATATGACCAAAAAAAAAAAACCAAATTAGGTATTAGGTATTTTGAAATTAATGTATGCATTCCTATATAACAAATTATTGAATTGAACTCGGAATCAGAATGTGCATATAACAACCCTTTTAGTTATATCATACTCAAACATATAATGCTGTAACATATCAAGATCAACTGCTTATTTAACACTATCATAAAAAAAAGTAAATACTTAAAATTCAAACAGGTCATCCATAGAAGATAATCATCACTCAGAACATATCTATTCACACAGACGTACTTGTATCCCTGATATTTCCTCTCCAGATTTGATCGGTAAACTTCCCATTTTAAAGGCTAAATCATGATCTGTAGAATTCTGTCAATTTCTCACAAACTACAAAAAAGCTCCCCGAAAAAGACAAAAAAGTGCAATTTGATGCCAGATGATCTGATTTGTTTTCAGATGATCTGAAAATAATCTGTGCCTAATCGCAGTTTGTTAGCAAGCTTTGTTGTGTGTTTTCCTCATTTTTTATTAGTCCTTTAAAAAAAATGGGGGTGGACGTCCTCCACCAACCTAATCCAGCCTCCAAAATTTTCAATACAAGGAATTGGAATGTCTGTATCTCACAGCAGAAGATGTACACCACATTGATATTAACTTGCTCATGTTGCAGACTAATTATTTCATTACTTCGCTGTACCGCTTAACATGCTTTCACTATTAAATTTCATAAAGTACTGATAGAAAGCACTCAAAACAAATTGATTACCAACCAACAAACTTTAAATTCATCCTTTATTAAATCACTGTTAACTTGGTTTAATTGATACCAGAGCAGAAACCGACCAGACGAAAAAACAGCATAGGAACACCAGTGTTTTTTTTTCTCTTCCTTCATGTTTAATAATCTGTGTATGATTGGTGAAGGTAAAACAACCTAAAGGGCATCTATGATCATTTTATGTGTTTTAAATGCACTCTTGGAATAACGTAGCAATATTAATAACGACATATATAAAACAGAACAGAAGCATAGAGAGACACTAGGACTAGTGCGCGCATTCACTGAAATATGGACGGAAGGATATCTTGAAATTTGAACTCATATTGTGTCTCCTTGCTAAAACAAAATAAAAATGAGTACTTTCTGCTATTGATTAATTTTTTTTAATCTAGGCTAAAAAACAAATTTCTTCCATATGTAAGAATCATAAACTCACGGTGCACTGCAAGTCCATGATAATGAATTTATGGGTAGGATAAATTGTTAAAATTCATCTGATTGGTTGAAAATTGGCCAATGACTGCACACTTTTCATTTAATAAATAAGATGGTAAAGTCAGTGTTGGAATGGTTTCAACCTCACCACAGATGTGAAGTAAAATAAATTAATCTCCTATTCATACAAGTAATTTGTAAAGTTCCCTAAACATTTTATTTGCATTTCAACTTAAACATACCACCCTTAGCTTTTCTTTGAAGTTAGTTTCAATATTGATTATTTAATTCAATTCAAATTTATGTCTAGAAATAAAAAACAAAATATAGAGCAAAATAACTGCCATTCAGATATAGAAAAAGTTTTTAGGCTATAAAGTGGCACTCCTGAGAGAGACATGGTGGTTCTTGCTTAGTTAACAGTTGCTCCATTTTTTAATGAGGAATGATGGGGAAAAAAAAGGTTTGTAATTGAACATACTCTTTACTTGTCAGTACTCATTCCTATCTTAAACATTCTTCGCATTTTACTAATGCTTAATTCATTTATCACTTGATTCAATAAGTGATTCAGCATTAATGTGACCGACAGAAGTTGTTTTAACCTCACCACAGATGTGAAAAAGTAAAATAAATTAATCTCCTATTCATACAAGTAATTTGTAAAGTTCCCTAAACATTTTATTTGCATTTCAACTTAAATATACCACCCTTAGCTTTTCTTTGAAGTTAGTTTCAATATTGATTATTTAATTCAATTCAAATTTATGTCTAGAAATAAAAAACAAAATATAGATCAAAATAACTGTCATTCAAATATATAAAAAGTTTTTAGGCTATAAAGTGGCACTCCTGAGAGAAACATGGTGGTTCTTGCTTAGTTAACAGTTGCTCCATTTTCTTAATGAGGAATGATGGAAAAAAAAAATTTGTAATTGAACATACTCTTTACTTGTCAGTACTCATTCCTATCTTGAACATTCTTCGCATTTTACTAATGCTTAATTCATTTATCACTTGATTCAATAAGTGACTCAGCACTAATGTGACCGACAGAAGTTGTTTTACTATTGATATGACTTTATATATCATAATATTCTATTTATGTGCATGTGTTTAAAATCAATCACTGGTAAAGAGTAATTTATAATTTAGCAATATTCATGTTCATTAATGTGCTTTCTGCTGTTTTTCCTAAATTAAAATAATTTATATGCTTTGGCTGACCATGACCTTTGCATTCAAAGTTTTAAATTTTACTTTTTATTTAAAAAAATAGATTATATGAGAGAAATGAAAGAATTAATAACAATAAATTTGCAAAGGTGATCAAATAAATTAATTTAATTAATTGCAATAAATTTGGATTCAGGTAATTCTAAGTTACAGAAATATCAATCACTTGAAGTGATTGGTTAAGAGACTGCAGTTAAAATATTAACAAGGTGTAATAATACAGTATTGCTTCTGATATTTGTTTTTTCATAAGCAATATAGAATGAAGTACCTTTAATCATCTTGCTCATTAATTTTTTTCGAAGAGTGCCCTCTACATGTGACTATTTCATAAAATTAATTTATTACACTACCTGTCCTCTTTAAATATTTAATAATTATTGAAACTTAAATCATAGAATGGCAGAAATTCTCTGACCATCAAGTTATTTCAAAATGAGATTCAAAGAATTCATTCATTCAAAGAAATTATTCATTTACAATTTCTAGTATTTGACATAATTCCAGATTTTAACATGCAATGTATGTTGTTTCTGAATGCCTTCTACTTTATTACAGCACTTTGAAGTGACTGATGTTTTAAAGATAAAAAAGTCATTAAAACAAAAACACAATTTTATCATTTTAAATTTATTATTTTAATATTAATTGTTATTAATAGGATCTTTTTAAATTAGTTTGTATTTATAAATGTATATATTTTAGTCTACTTTAATTTTAATAATTTTAATTGAAATAAAATGTGATTTACAAATTGCATACATAATGATATATAAATATTATATAAAAAAAGTTTAGTAAATAAAACTAATGCAATTTATGAAATTGACTAATATATGAAGTTCAGATAAACTTCTGTCTTCAATCACAAGCTATAAAGTCAAATTAATTTTCTAATTTAGAGATGATGGTTAATCCAAGCATTTTGATATCAGCAAAATGGTTTGCATTAGCTTGATAAACTTTAAGTGATCAGTATCAACAGGTGTTAGGGGAGGCGTCCATCACAACAATTAAATCAAATTTTTTAACACCTCTCCCTACTTACTGTACACATGCAGGATAAGACTTTCTAGTGCATGGCTATCCATTTATTGTTCATCTATTCAAAATATACCACCATGTTTGTTAAGTGCTCCCTTGTTGCTTCTTTAAGCGTCACAAGTTTGCATTTCACCATACTGTAACCACACTTAACCCACAGCAATACCGCCACCATGCCACAATTCTCCAATGAAATTAACTTTTGTGAAATTCTACTTATTAAATAATAAATCAATAGGATATTGATAATTTTTCCAGACATAAGTACTATTAAGTACCTTTCACCTTATACACTGTCATGCCTCCTACATCCCGCCTGGAACAATCTCAATGTTGGTAGAAGAGGTATCTATGTAAATGTGTATATGTATACGTAGGCTATGTATGAGTAGGGAGAAATCTTTTCACGGTCCATGAAAAAACGCAGGTTATCGCCATCTTATAGTACTGTACTTGAACAAAAATGGCTGACATAAAATACATAATTCTATTGGCACTCAAAGTTGTTTGAATAGCTTGCCCTCTATTGACTAAATGTTAAAATATTAAAATAGGGCATGTGGAAATTACAGGTATTGGTTTGCGTTTATAGGGGTTCCAAATTTTTAATTTGTAAACAATATGTAGTTTAATTAATTACAATCTTATTGGTAAAATGTTCACAACTTCTGCTAGTTCAGTACTGAAAGAATGATCATTGCAAAGTTCTCCCTCTACACCTTCAAAAACAGCATGAATACTAGGCCTACTCCAAATATGACCACATACATTTTTTCACATAGCTTATTGATAGATGAAATGCACATTTTACCTCATTACATAGTTTCCTAGAATGATTTCAACATTATCACAACTACAGTAATAATGAATGAGTCACTTGTCTCATGTAATCTTAAAAACCTTAAAAGTTTGATCACTTCAATTCTACCTCATTATCTTTTACGAAACTCTTTGTTATTTTTATCTAAAAATGAAAGAAAATCTACAGATTCATTTCTATTTAAGTAAAAATCAGGCAAAGTCACGATAAAGGATAAATGGATTTTCAACACCTAATGTCTGAGTCATGAAACATGACAAAATACATTAACAATAAAAAAAAATTTAGACATTCAAAGATTCAGTTATCAGCAGATATAGTACCAACTAAAAGTTTAGGTTACTTTCATAATAATGTAGTTGCACCTTCCCACAGAAAGCATGAACACCAGGAATTCTGATTGGGAGCTAACTGTTGACCTGTTAGCAGTGCCCATCAGAATAGTGATCAGGATTGGTTAATGGTTAGCAACCATTAACAGTTAGAAAATATTCTTTTTCATTCCTTTTTTAATTACCCAAATGTTTTGTATAAATGAGCATTAGGAAAATAAGCTAGTAGGATTTTCATGAAAATATAACAAAATTCAATTAAAATTATTGCCAGTTGTATTTTTTGACTATTCACCTTGGTGGTTTATTTTTAAACGACACAAAGATGAAAGATGCGGGCCCTAAATTGCAAAAATCTACCTCAGACTTTGGACGAAATTAGTAGTAATATTGGAAGGATGCTCATTATTCCATTCAGCATACATCAACATGGGCATAAGTTAGAGGGTGCATCTGTCCAATGGCAGCAAATTAGGCAGACTAATTCCAGGATTTCATTCTGCATTCTCATTTTTCGCATCCTTCCAGGCCAAAACTTGTCCCTGATCATGACCCAAAACAACACAGATCAGAGATATTTCTAGTATGTTTCCATGTGATGTATACTCGCACTTCCAGTAAATACAAATGCTGGCTTTACGGTTAAAAGGACGTTGGATAATGCTAACCGTGGAATGAGCGTGACCATCTACTTAGGCCTACATTAAATTAACAAAGAATTCCTAGAACTGTTTACAATATTTAATTCTTTTCAAGAAATTTCAAGGTTGTCATCGAATAAATTACCAAATACAATTACATAGCTAAACTTCAGATCACTTGATTTTTACAGGCTACTGAACTTACGCAACCCAATTCCTGTGGCTTAGTTTATTTCAATTTAAGATCTAGACTCTATTGTAAGTGTTTCTATTGTCTTTTGTGTGACTACATGTTTACAATTCTACTATTACACATCATTGTTCATTACACCACAATATTGCACATAGTTCAAATACCCACAATACTTTCTAAACCGATTGATATATTTTCAACTTTAAATTTTCACGATTTGGCTAACTCATGATCATACAAAATATACAAAAAAATATAGAGGGTGCACACCTGCATGGTCGTATACAGATTGTAATTTAAAAAGCACAATTGGATGTTTTATTTTAATATCCATAAAAGTTTAAATTATTATAGTAGAATGCTATTTAAATACTTCAAAATGGGCCTATTAGTAGTAGGCCTACTTGGTTTAGTCATGGTTTAGTAGGTATTCCAATAATTTACCTTTGTAGATATAGAAAGTATAATTTCGATTATACATGCCACTAATCCACAAGATGCCCTAAGCTAGGTAGAAGGAACCTATTTGGCTAAAAAATAGCTTCAAATACCTCTGTCAGCCAACCATTTCAAATTTCTACCACCATTTATTATCAAGATTAAGGACAAATCATAAAGTTTAAGCAGTATCTGGGATTTTTCCACAAAGGTAATCACCATTACTTACAAAGGCACCTTGGGTAGGAGTTGCATATTTCATAGATTGTGAAAATCAAGGTGTTTACAAAGGTTAAAAATAATTGTATTATAACGAGCCATCCCTACAGTATATAATCCCAAAACATGTTTTCTATTATGAAAATTATTTCGAAATGCTTTGTATAATAATCTCCAACATATTCTAACTCAAGGTTAATAGCTAGTGATCATCATTGATAATAGAGGGATAGAAACCCTAATCCCTTGCCATTTATACATGGGGTAACCTTAAAAAGTTTCCTTGTGTCAAATTATGGGTACATACAGCATAGAGAAAATAGTTCTCTATGCATACAGTAAGTACATCGCCATGCTTCAACGGAGATGCCCTACATACCATTATATGTCATAATAATAGGCCTAAATGCCTGAATTTGTCTAAATTAATTAGGAATTAACATAACAATAATATTTATTTACTTTATTATTACAAAATTTTAGAAGAAAAATACAATATAAAATGCCCTTAATGGATAACCAAAAGTTTAAAAACCCTGAAGGATTCTATACGGCATCGTAAAATAAAAAATTGCAACATTACATTAAAATAATTTTTCGATATAGAAGTTTAAGAAGTTGTATAAAAGTAGATGTCATATAAAAAAATATGTTTAAAAAAAAAATAAATATAAGTATAATTTTTATTTTTAAATCTGTAAACAAACAACCGGAATTTCAAACCGTATGTTTGTCAATAACAAATTTTACATACTGTATGTAATCAATCCCTATCACTTTCTGCTGGTTACTGAACCAGTGAAAAACTCTTTTTGAAAAACTATATAATTATCATTAACTTCGGCAAATAAATTTTATCTCAAAGGGTAATATGCAGAGTAACATTTCTTATCAGATCAGAAGTCAGAGAAATTAATTATTCATCTCCAAAAAAAATGCCCACAATTTGGCAATGGTTTGTTCCAAAATAAGAAATTCTCTCCTAAAGATAGGCACATGAAGTTTGAAGTATAATAGTAGATACATGCAAGCTTACATCATTTTCTTCAAAATAAGTTAAAAGTAATAACAATAGCAACAAAAAAAAATACTATTTTTAGAAGAAATGTTAAAAAAATTTAATTTCCATGTATGTTTGAAAAAAGGGTTTAATTATTGTCATGATACTTTTTAAGCTACATGATTTCTGGCTTCTGAGCGAATAGGAAAACTTTTACCACATATAATTACAGTAGAGAACCTGTTGAATTCATTGGAGGAAGCAAATTTTGATAGAAATTGAAGATAAGTAAAATGAATTTTCCGGAAACAAGGGTTTGCAATTTGGCAGTGAAAGCTTGGTAAAAGACATGCTTTGTGACATAATGCAATTATATAACAGTTTGGAGGTCATTTTGAGAGTTGTATATAAACATTTTCTTAATTTTGCATAGCAAAATCTATAAAAATTCCTAATGTGGTTTGACTCTATAATTAAATTTAATTGGTTAGATGGTAAGATATGTAGTAGTCATTGAAACTTCTTTCTAACATGATAATGGCACCAATAAAATGCTCATCATAAAAAAAAAACAAACTTGATGGTTCCTCTGAATCAAATGGCCCAATCAAATTTTGAGATTAGAAGCATGGTGGCTCTCTTGGACCTGCAGTATGTGCCCCCACCCCCTCCACTGATTAATTTATATCTTCAGTGGCCTCCGAGCTGAGGTGTTTTAATATGCCTTCTGTATGTTATTGAAAAAGGCAAGTAAAAGCTTATAATTTACCTCTACTTTGACCTAAACACAGCAGTTCTGGAGTAATTGAGCATAACTGAATCAGAAAAACTTTTCAATTAATATATGGGGGTTGGATGAGACATTTTATTAGAAAGGGAGCAGCAGAGTAAATTTGAGATGTGCAGCTGGTAATTAAATAAAATTAGATGCAATGTGCCACTAATTCAGCTCACTCCACTACTTTTGGTATTTCAAGAGTATTTTTTACAGATGGTAGAATAAAACTGAACTCCTGTACAGACGATAAAGCTTTATTTGACATGCATAAATACGGTCATGATGACATCACATCATGACCATATATAGGCACATCATGACTATATATGGGCATACAACAGCTTTTTGTCTGTGTAGACAGCGCTTTCAATCGACCTACATCACAGCGCACCGAGAAAAAATCATTTGAATTAAATGTCGGCACGTTGATTTTAATAACATATTTGAGTGAGGCAATGCAATCTAAAGTTTAAATCTCAAAACTCATCATTTTTCCATCATATTCTTATTCCCACACGTCTTCATAACTATCTTGCTTGCGTCATTTCACCATTTTTCTAATAGCTTTCAAATAGAAATTCTCAGTCCAGACATAAACATTATTGTGTAAACGTTATAATTTTTAAGACAATACTTTAATAATTATTGAAGTAATCAATTTAAGAATTTTTTGTCATGACTAATGCCTTTAGGAAATTCAGCTTTACCATTGGTGACAACAAAAGTTTCATCAGTAGTATCAAAAGTTTTGTCTTACCTTACAAACACGCGCCACCCTAGAGTAAATAGCCTGAAAAAGAGAAAGAAAAAAATGCAATATAAATTAAAATGATTTTAATGGCAATGGAGGCTCACATTTAATCAAGTAAAAATGTACTTTGTAAAAATACAAAAAAAGTTTAAGAAATTATATGACATCCATATCTTGTGAAAAATTAATGTTGAATTTTAGAGATATTTTGAAGAAAAAAAACCATTCATATGAAGTTACGATTAATCCTTCTAGTTTCGTCAACAAGGAACGTTGGGTAATCTCTAACTAAAGAATTTGACAATCACAAATACAGCTTTTCTATCCTGTTGGGAAAAAATCAATAAAATACAGCACAATATTGTAATTGTAAAAGTATTTTCTATTCTCTTATACAATTACAAAAAAATCAATAAAAAGTCTAAGTTTTGAAATAATAACTTTAGTATGGCATGGAATAATGAACACTCGACAAGACTACAAGATTATATCAATTTTTTCCATTACCTAACATTATAAAAAAAAAAAAAAAAAAAAAAAAAAATCCATGAATATATCACAAACAAGATTTAAAAGATTGAAGATAAGACAACAGCTCTAACTTCCCATTGGTTTTATTCATCACAGGTATTAAAATTATTCTTGTGAAACAATCTGAAACAAATCAGGTATGAAATACAGTATGTAGAGATATTTATGTAATTGAATCTAATAGATACGGTGCACAAAAATCCTTCACATCGTCAACTTTACTCAACTAAATTCAACATCAGACTCATCAACATACTGTATTGTTTGCAAGTGTCAAGTGTACACATGCAACGATGAGTTCTCACTTCATTTGTATAATAGTTTATGAATAAGAAAAATCAGAAATTAAGATAATTACTGTATGACATAATATTACGTGGTAATTTGAGGTACAATGAAGAGTTGATTTGTATTACTCTAAAACCTTCCTTTACTGTATTAATACATGAGAATGGTCATCCAATAGCTCCCAGATACAAGATTCATTTATTGTCTTACTACGTAAAATGTGTTTTTTATGCTTAAACAAATAATCTGTTGGAAAAAACAATAATCATGCCAAAACAAGTAAGAAAACGAAGCCTAACTATGATGCAAAAACATTATACTTGAAATATTTCTGTAAACATAGTGTACAATACTCAATACAACAATATTGTTTCTTATAGTTTTTTTTTTGTTGTTAAGTATAATAGATTGAAATTTACTTGAAGCAAGTACTTGGTGCCATCAATCAGTTTATTTTTATCACACAATAGTAAAATGATTCACATTTGGAGAATTGTTTATCTATCTGTTTCGATTTATAGTGTTGTCACATTTTACCATTCAGTTTACCAAGTGGTCCATAGTCAGTGTGAAGGATCACTGGGCATGTTTCTGCTGCAAATCCCAAAAATACAGGAATAATACAGGTATTCAAAATACCTGTATAATACTGGTACTGAAATCCTAACCCCATTTCTACTGCCGATCTGAGCTTATTCTAATGGGTGGTCGTGTCTGGTTTCTGTCAAAAACACAACAGAATTTCGTCATCATTACCCAAAAGGCCATTCGCGAAGCGGAAGTTTACCTACCTACCTACCTAGCCCAGGCATGCCTTCGTTCGTTCGATCCCCGCGAACGCGAGTAACGACAACATAGCAAGAAAAACCATTGCCTAGTTTGGAAGGGGAATAAACAAGTACGTACCATTTACTTCCCTCCGTCCATCCATTAAAAACGGGGGGTTATGAATTGCCCGGTCGCCCAATATTTGGTCCAGCTCATCGTAAAATGGGCATGTAACTCTGTTCCTGCCCGACCGGTTGTTGTTATCTTTGGCAGTAGTGTACTGGCTCTTCAGAGATTTGATTTTATTTATTATTTGTTTGGAACTGAATTCAGTTCCAAATTCCGCTTTAATCTTAGCTACTAAGTTTTGGTAAATAATGGCATCTCGTTTTGTGCCACTGAACTTCCCATTAATCTTTTCTTCGCCCCACGCTAGAACCAAAAAACGAGTTATCTCTTCAGTCCACATATTTTCACTAGGCCTACAGACAGTATTTTGTACCTTCGTGCGCCTACACGCTGGCTAGGCTAGCAGAGAGAAAAAGGTTGTATCAGGGTCATTCCGGGGGTCACCAATACAGGTATTTTGTGTTGCAGCTGAATTTAGGGACTGTGAATACCGTTACACATTCCTGAATACCGGTACGTACCCTCAATCAATAGCGATTTTTTAAGCGGTACAGAAATACCTGTATTTCTTAGGATGGCCCGTTTCTACGACAAAAAAAAATACCGGTATTTTAAAATACCTGTATTATACAGGTATTTTCTGGCAGCAGAAACAGGCCCACTGATGAGACCCCAAGTTCCTGAACATTCAATGGGATAAAATGAGCCAAGGCAGATACACAATTTAGACAATTTCCGTTTGATAGTAATTTATCGGTTTTGTTTGTTTTTATTTTAATTGAATGAATTTCCCTGTGATGGAGCCCATAAGACTACAGCCTGCTTGATAGCAAGTCAGGCTTAAGAGAGTCTTGGGAGGAATGATTTGGCCTATGAAAAGGGTCAAATCTTGCATACAGACTTATTAATAAATCTAACAGACATATCATAAAAAATCAAAACAAAAATTTTAGCTATAGGAAGTGACACCTATACAAATGTCACTAAACTGAGCTGATAAAAATAATTCCCTGGGAAAAAAGTACAGCAGATAAAAATACTTACCTGGGAAAAAAATTCCTGCCAACTAGGGTACTGAGGTCAGTTGGTTGACCTTTAGAAACTGTACTCAGCATAAGTTGCTTGATTCTTGCATCAAGATTTTTAATCAGTAATGATTATCAACATTTTGTATGCGAGTTTGAACAATTGGCACTAAATTTTTAACTAATAAACATAAATATTGACTTTATTATAACTGAAATTATACTTTTATTTTTAAATTATATTCATTTTATTAAAGATTATATGATTGTTGGCTAATGAGAAAACAGGTATCTAATGTTAACATAAATAATTACACCAAGGCAACTCAATAATAGCCTATAGGCTTAATAGTGATGATAATGATGGGTTGGTTTATAGCCACATTAACTAATATAAACATACAAATAAAGATGACAATTATAGCTTATTGTTTTGAAGTCAACCTAGGAGGAATGCGGTGGCTTGTAAAAATAATGCACTTTGCCAGCTGGACACATGAGATCCTAGATGGGTGAGCTTCCACAACCTACCCATGTCTGTTTGTTTAGCTTGTCATACAGTGTACTTACAGAGAAATAAGTACCAATGCCTCCATCAAACATCAATAAACAAGACTACTACTCAGGAGACAAGATAGTAAAGAAGGTTTTATATATCAACAGTAAAGTAAGCCTCGCTATAATATGGCATTGGTAGTAGTGTCCTTGTGCTATTTTAATTGGTACATTTATTTAGTTTTCAGTACTGAAGTGATGGTTTATTTTGTAAATGAATATTAAGCCATGATCTTCCGAGGGTAGTGTTTTTATCTTGACATTAAGTGTCTGAACTAGAATGTCTACTAATGAAGCGATGACAGATTGTAAATTACTTCTCCTTGATCCTCTCATTCAAATTTTATGTCTTTATCTACATAATGTTGTTAACATGCTTTAAAATTAAAGAGGAGCCAGAATTCATCATAATGCATGTTTAAATGTAAACATGCTGAACTCTTTTTTTTGTGATTTCCTTGCCTATATAATATCAATGCAATCATTACTTTTTTTACGACTAGAATCATTTAGCAAAATTATAATAACGCAACAAATTAATAGTGTAAATGCACATCCATGTAAACATGATGCGTGATGTCTGTGTAAAATCTTGTTTATTATAAGTATTTGTAAATTTAGGACATATAGTGCATAATTACGACCATAATTTATGCCTCATGACGAGCAGTCTGTTTTTCACTATGCTTCGAGTTAGTTTTTGTTACATGGATGGGCAGTGTACATGCGAATACGATTAAACTTGGTAGGAATATACCAAAAGATATCCTAGCAAAAATTTGTTAGAATTGTATAACATTATGTTCTACATAATAAATTGGGTATATAAAATACACATAATTCAAGTTCGAGTGCCGGTATATGGAAGGCACTAAGGCCAAAGTGTGAGTAATACAGTACCTATTGTATTAGATATTGCAGCCAAAATTTAATTATTTTATTTGTAACCCAAGGTCCTCAAGCCTTGTCCTGTACAACAATTGCACCTTTACTAAAAAAACAATTTGTTGTTGACAGTGGTTTACATCATTAGTAACACCAGCAGTTACATAGAATATGGTTGTTTATAGGTTGTTTAGCAACTCAGTAATTATACACAAAACAAAATATTTTTCAAAAGATTAAGAAAAATATTTGAATTCTTTCACTAAAAAGATTATATTATTATTCACAAGAAAAACAAATAACAAATTAAGAAAGGTTCATTAAATCATGGTTAAATGAAAAGTTACAATACAATACATACAAAACATTCTTATTTGGTGAAATCACAACAAATTTTATTCAAAAGCATCAGCATTAATCCTTACTTTAGATATTGCACACAGATAAGGAACAAGATCAAAGTGATTTGTTATTTTTTTATAAAAAATAACTGTGTGGAATAAGATTATTCAGAGCTAAGTCAACTTACAAATTAAGGCGTAAAGTGATACGGAGTGTGGTTTGTAAGGAGAAAGAAGTTATTCAGAAAATTCACTGATGAGAATAAAAGGTTTACTATATTTGGATACTATTCAAATTTTACTATTCTGTATTTTTTATCTAACACTGTCAGAATAAAATAAAGCGTTCAGATTAGGAAAGACTTTCTATCTTCCTTTCTTTCTTTCACAGTTCCAACAAAATTTTTTATAAATCTGAAATATACTAAACATATATTGAAATATGACTTTTGTAGTTTTGGAGGAAATATACACAAGTACTTTTTAGGGAAAATTGAATTTAATAAAATTATTAATA